AACGAAACAACATCAAAAACCAAATTATTGAATTAAAGAGTTAATTTTAACAAGTCGATAGAATACATCAACCTTGACATAAACAGTGTTCTTTCATAATATATTTTTTATTAGTATGATAAGCTTGATCATCTCTTTATCCGGAGTCATTTCTAATCCCCATAGAAAAGAAAGAAGAAATTTCTTTGTAATCACTCAATTCATGATTCCATTATTTAATCTTTAAATAACAATGAAAATTATAATAACCTGACGAGTAAGTCGTGTGTCTCAATTATCAACTTGAAAGTCGAAACAAGTGAAAAGACGTGTAATTGCGTTTGTCTGTAAAATTGAGTTTTACTGGAAATGAAATGATAAAGGAAGCAAAAAATTATAAGTAACTTTTTAATTATAAGCTTGCCTTAATCAATACTCAATCATATAGACTGTAAAATTTAGAAAGTTGAAAGAGGGGTCTAGTAGTTACTGGGAAATAATTCAAATCAATGTTACTTTCTGTATATTCAATTCCTATTCTTTTTTATAAATGGTTGCTTTCTTGAATTACTTTATTAGAGGTTTGAAATGGAGAAAAAGTGTTTAACAAAAAATAGTTAGAACTTTTGATAAAGTTAAATATTACGATAAAGAAATATCAGACTTTTCTGGGGTTGTGAGAAGAAAACAAACGTAAAGACAGAAAGTGCACGTCAGAATTTGCAGTAGCAAGTCTGTGGTGTTTTTGGGGTATGGTTTCAACGGTGGAGGATTATATAGTGCTTTCTTCTCATCCACACCTCTCTCTATATCTATATCTATATCTATATCTATATCTATATCTCTCTCTCACACACACTGTACACACTCTGAAGAAAATGTTTTTTATGTGTTTGTTGTTATATGCATGTTTATATAAGTGTTGATTTTTCTAAGCTTTTTGGCAAGAAAAAGTGAAAAACCATTGAATCATGAAGGAAAAATAGTGGGTTTCGTTTTCGGAAGAAACAAGAGTTGTCTCCTGGGGTGATGCCAAAGAGGGAAGAAGAAGAAGCCATAATCAAGAAGCAATTCACCTGATTTTCTAACTCACTCTGTCTAGTTTTAACCAACTTTAGCCTTTTTCTAGGTGCGTAGTTTTGTCTTTAAACTCAAATATCCTGTCTTTACATTCAAGAAAAAGTTAAGATCTGAGGCCTCATCCAGATAGATTTTTACCCTTTTGCTGATGTTTGCTTGCAGATTATTTAAAAAAAATTAAAAAAATGATGAAAGGTTTAGTAACTCAACAATCACATCCCCTTATTGAAGAAAACGTGTCGAATTTGACTTCTGCCTCTGGTGAAGCCAGCGTTTCTTCTTCGACTAACAAAAATGATAGTGGAGTCATGTACCCATCTCAGTATTTTCCTCCCGCAAATGATCAGTCTCAGCCTCAACTTGTGAAGAAAAAGAGAAATCAACCAGGCAATCCAGGTAAGTAGCTAATTGAATATTTTGTCTATAAGTAACTTTTTTGGGGGGAAAATGAAAATCTTGATGGTTTTGGACCAGATCCTGGTGCAGAAGTGATAGCTTTATCACCAAGAACTCTCTTAGCAACCAACAGATTTGTGTGTGAAATTTGCAACAAAGGGTTTCAAAGAGATCAGAATCTTCAACTTCACAGAAGAGGACACAATTTGCCATGGAAGCTTAAGCAGAGAACAAGCAAAGAAGTGAGGAAGAAAGTATATGTTTGCCCAGAAACTACTTGTGTACACCATGATCCATCAAGGGCACTTGGGGACCTAACAGGGATTAAGAAGCACTTCTGTAGAAAACATGGGGAGAAGAAATGGAAATGTGAGAAATGTTCAAAGAAATATGCAGTTCAGTCTGATTGGAAAGCCCATTCCAAGACCTGTGGCACTAGGGAGTACAGATGTGACTGTGGAACCCTTTTCTCAAGGTAAAACATAAATCACTTCATTCTAGCTAGAGGTAGGTGGGGGTGGGAGGTGAAGATGTATACAATATATAAATAGAAATGATCAAAAGGGAAATTCTTGAAATTATCTTTTTGGTGACTAATGTATGGTAAAGACTCAAATTTCAAAACAAGTTAAAGAGTCCAGATTTCTTCATTTTTAATTATATATTTCAAACTCAGTAGAGATGCTTGTTAAAGAAATTCTAAATGGAAATATCTAATAAGAATATATGTGTGTGTTGATTGAGCCTCGTACTCGATATACGACTCGTCTATTAGGATCCATTTTATAAGATTTGATGAATTTTTATGATATTGTGTATGACTGTATATGAGTTTAGTTTCTCGATTTCTTCACTATGTATGCTATTTTTTGTTCTTGGGTTTTCAGGAGGGACAGTTTTATAACTCACAGGGCCTTCTGTGATGCTCTAGCAGAAGAGAGAGCAAACACAATAACTAGAAATCCAATTCTCACGTCTCAAGCAAGTTTTTCAACATCCCATATAAACCTTCAAATTTCACCCCAATTCAGTGCCCATAATTTCCCATTCCCAATAAAAAAAGAGCAACAAAATTTCAGTTCTAGACCTGAGATTCCACCATGGCTAGCTTCTTGTCCACCAGCACTGGGACCTGGACCCATTCCTGGCTCTAGCCCACCACACATTGACCTCACCCCGTCAATCTTCAACCCTAGATTAGATCAAGAATTTTCTCAGCATGAACAACTATTTTCTCAGAATCAAAACCCTAACCCTAGTAGTGGCCATGGACCCTCAAGGGCCTCAACCCTACCACCCTATAACCCAGCAGCATCTCCTCATATTTCAGCCACTGCATTGTTACAGAAAGCTACACAATTGGGTGCAAAAACTAGCCCATGTCCATCACTGGAGGCCATGCTTATTAGACCCCACCAAGATCACATGTCTGCAGCAGATTCTGGTCACAGTACAACAGCTGCTTTTGGTCTAAACTTGTCCTCATGTGAGAAAATGGCCAGTGGGTTCATCGATGGCTTGGCTTTGTATAAGAATAAAGCTGCAATGAAAGGTAATACAGACACAGGTGCACCAGCACCAGCAGCAGGTGATAGTAGTACAAGTGGACCTTCTTTGCTTCATGACATGATGATGAACAATCCTGGATTTGAAGGATCAACCTTCGAAGATGCATTTGGTGGGATCTTCAATTCTTTAAGGAAAGATGGAATTTTTCATGCAGCCCATTATCAGTTTAGCACAGGTGAAGGTAGTCGAATTGATGGAACTACAAGGGATTTCTTGGGATTAAGGCCTATTTCTCATAGTGACATTTTGAGTATAACTGGCCTTGATCATAACTGCATCAAGACTTCTTATGAGGATCGAAATGAAATAGAAAACCCGAAATCTTGGCAAGGTTAGGGCAGTTTAAATGCTTTTGGTGTAGATCTTCTTTTTTACTAAATGGCTGTATTTCTTGATTAATCTTTACTAATAAGGGAAACTAAAGGGGGAATCCTACTCATTTTGGATGAAAATCACTTTTTTTTGGGAGTTACTTATTGCTTATAGTTACATTCATTAATGCTTGGACCACACCTATATATATGTGTCTTTCTTTGCACTCTTTTCTATATTGATTGCATAAAATTGGAAAGTATAGTGTGTTGTATAAAGGGAATCTGTCCATTCCAAGTCTATTTCAAGAGGTAAATTGTGCATATAAAGTCGTATATGTAAAGACTGATAAAGAGTTCCTTAGAAAAATGTCTTAAGCAAAATTTATACATAGCAGGGAATGTTTTTATTTATGACTCTTACTTCAATTTATTGCAAGGATTGAAGGAAATTAATGTTTTCTTTATAATTTTATATTTACACATACTCTTTGACAAACAAATCCTATTTATTGTCTTATGAGATTATTGACTTTGTCTTATGTCGGCATTTATGATTTACATATTCGACATATTTGTTGAGAGGAAATCAAGGAATTGTTTGATGTAGAAATGGATATATGGGTTCGCATAGGGAATAACAATACTGAGTGTGACTTGTCCTCATTGTAACTAAGCTTTTATGAGATTAATTATACTATCAGTTCCCAACATGTCTCTTCACTCCAAACTCTAGAAGGAACGAGTTCGTCCCAAAGCTCTCATTGTAATAATTAATCTCAAATAACGTAAGTCATTTAAGTCTCCACTAAAATTTCATAAAGTTTTTGTTGTTGAAATATGTATCATGTTATATCTATAAATTACGTAGTATGCACATGACGAAGGGACCACATTGGCCAACTCGACAATTGATTATGTCAGTTGAGTTGGCCGATTAATATCAAACAGCCTCTTATTGGACTTGAGCTTAGTCGATCCACTAACTTACCTTGGCCCATTTTCCTTTTCTCTATATATGTGTGAACTCACTTTACTTGAGGTATGCATTCTAAATCCTTGTCAAATACCCTTCATCATCTCTTGCACTCCTTCTCTCTCATAAGATTGTTGACTTGATATCGGAGTACAAACAATGATTGGACCTTTTTCTTGGTCAATGACCTATACATCTTAATGGTATATTATAGCATTGCAGCAATTTTGTTGACCACGTTTTCGTTGGATTTTGACGTTACTAGATCATTTCAATTTTTTAGACGTGAATCCAAATCGTAAAGCAAAACCTAACTCTGACATGTGTACAGAATATGACATATAGGCAGTGAAAAATGAAAGTTACTAGTTCGACTCTAAAATTACCTAGAGGGATGTGAATAGGTAAATAACGTGGAATTAAAAGCAACATGTCACCTTTATAGATAATAAGAACCTATAATATGATCCAGCCATCTTATAAAATTGGCTATCTCATGTGGATAACCAAGAACATCTTGTTCTTATACTCTTCATGTACTTTTGATCCAACCTCCCCCAATCTTTGGAAAACTCTGAAATTATTAAAAAAGTGTTTCTTGATTATATTTAGAAAGTTAATGTTTTAGATTTTATGATTTTGATATTTTCCCCAACTTGTGGTTGACCAATCTCAAGATATAGAATTGTTGTTTGATTTTCAAAGGATGTTATGAAGGTAGAAAATAATTATCAACTTATGTTTTTACAAAGTGGGGCTTATTTATTTATAATAAAGAGATATTGAAGTAGTATATGATAGATAAAATTCTTAAAATCGCGGATTAGGATTTCGTGAAAAACATCATCGCTCGAGGGTTAAGTAAGCGTCATGCGAGCGACGGGTGTGTCGCTTAGACGACAGTCCGGTGATAATGATTTTGTTTTGGATGTTCGAGCATCAACATAGCGACATGCTAACATAATTCCTAATAGCTTTTTCTCTGTATTTCATATTCAAACTCAAAGACTCCTAGTTTATTTATACAACATTCCAAAAGATTCATTAACTTTTACAATTATTTTACAATAATCATTTTGTTTAAAAAATAGTCAATCCAAATTAAAACCTAACAAAAATGATATAGGAAATTAAAAAGCATAGGATTCTTGAATCGACATCATCCTGAAAATGGGGTGCAAATGTGGCATTAACATGGTATATTATATTTGTTCTTTATTTGCAATACAAAAAAGACAAAGATGGCTGACACCTGATGTTGGTGCAAGTGGGATTCAATCCCGAGGATGGATCATGCCCGTCCTTTGCAGAAATCATGGACAACTCAATCAATCCTTGCTAACAACCCTTTAAATGATATATCTCGAATTAATTTAATGGACTTAAAACGTGACGTGGATATTGAATGTCAATTAATTTCCAAACCTATTATTAAGTGGTAGGAATTTTGATAATTGATTTTATTTTTTTACAGTTAGAGATAAAGTGGATCATACTTATTTGAGAAGAATTCAAAAAGGGCGATTGAAATAATGAAATAACGATCAAAAAATTAATTTTAATTGGCTTAAAATCTAAAACAAGCAAGCTCTAAGACTGACTATGACGTGCTTTTTACTGTAAGAAATTTAAGATAATTTTGACAAAATTTCCCTGTAAAATAGATTAGACCCAACTTTAAAAGCAACAAAAAATTTATAAAAGACATTTCCAAAAATAATTTTAGTACTACTTTGCCTCCAAACTCACAACTATTGTACAAAACAGAGCTAAGTTAAACAATCTCTGCTTAAGTTTGAGGCATATTAAACTAAAAAAAATACAAAAATAGGCCAAATGCCATGATCTCTGAATTAAGGCCATCGAAAGAAACTATGAAATTTTAATATGAACCGTGCTGTGTGCAGAGCTCGGCACACAGCACGGGCTACAACCCCTCATAAAGGAGGGGGCTCGCGCCAATAAAAAATGCACCGGCCCTCTCCTTTGTGAGGGAGCTGTAGGTTGTAGGATTGTACAACCAGTTTTATCCTTCTAATATTATTAAAAAGAAGAAGAAGAAGTAAAGACTAAAAATAAAAGATCGTGGACTTAAACCGGCCAAAAGTGTAGACGCCCATACTATGGAGAGAATTTTGTAGCGTGTGTTCTACTTCAATGGTTGGTCCAACCCAATTTTCTATGACTTGTGTGTGAAGCTTATGAAGCTTCTCATGTGTGTGTGGGGTGGCAATTGAATTGGTGTATAGGGATATGTGATGGTGGCTTTCGAGTTCATACTAGGAAGAAATTTTACTAATTAATGGGTATATATTTATCATTTTTTCTTTATGGATTAGGCAAACTCTCCTGTTATGGTGTGTTTGATAGGGTCAATTCTATGAAAAATGGAATTCATTTTCCATCCAAATTGTAGTCTTTTATATCACACTTTTTCCATGGAATTTATTTTCTTGATTGTCTTGAAAATTGTTCTTTTCTTGGTTTTCCAATATGATGGGAATTGGTTTTCCACCATACTTTGACGTTTTTTTTCTTTTTCTTTTTCTTTTTTTTTTGTAATGGAAATAAATTTTAAGAATTATTGTAAAAAAATATTTCCCTTTAACTGACAATTTTCATGTAAAATAAAGATAAATGAACAATAAAAGATAGATGATTTTCTTGATTTTTTTTGTTGGCAATGGAAACAAATTTCATACCCAATACCAGTAAATTCTATCCCTTTAATTAAAAATTTTCATGTAAAATAAAGCCAAACGAATATCAAAAAACACTTTTATTTCAACATTTTCCATGTGAAAAATTATATCAATCAAACACAATAATTTACAATTTCCAGGAAAACAATTTCTCGACAATTCAATTCCCTGAAATTTGTTTTCAATTCAATTCAATTCCATCTTTGCAATCAAACGGACCGTTATTCTAAATTTTACTTTTTAATCAAACTGAATTTAACAAATTATTTTATTTGATTATATGTTTGGCAAACTCTCCTGTTATTCTAAATTTTACTTTTTAATCAAACTGAATTTAACAAATTATTTTATTTGATTATATGTTTGGACATTCTGTCAGGCTCTGATTCAAGCATTTAATCCTTGAAGAATTCTAAATGTACAGGATTCCCTTCACAGAATTTTTACAGATGCTGTTTGTGTGTTGTTCATTTTTATTTTTATTTTTTATTTTTTTGTCATCTTTCACCAAAATAGCCACATATTCCTCCTGTATAAATTCTGTGAGCCAACTTCTGTAACTGTAGCAGTGTTCTTAATACTTCAACATTGTACCTTTTTTGGGTTGATTCTTGGATTAGATTTAAAATATTTGTTCTTGTTGCTTTTGGTGTTAGTTATGACTCTATTTCGCTCTCCTTTTCTAAAATTCATTTTTCTTTAAATTTCCCCACTTGTTTCATGTGACCTACACACTTTATCAATTTTTCAACCACACATTTCTCAAACTTTTATCAAATCTATTAAAAATCTAATTTTCATCCAAATCAAACATGGGCTATGTTAGTTCTTCTACTATAAATCAATAATGGTAGAAAGAGACCTCCATTGGTATATAAAATTAGTTGTATGGGAAAAAAAAGTCATAGTTTTAGAGATTTTTTTCCCCCCAAATTCACCGCAAACTCGTATTTATGTTTCCTTTTTGTAAGTGCCAGTGTTTTTTTCTAGTTTAGTGGAGTCTCTATCTATGTTATTAAACAAGTGAGTAGAGTTGTTCAAAATCGTAGAAAATATCTCATATACAACTAGGATTTCTCTTAATATGGTGATCAAACTTCAATTTGATGAATGTCAACTCTATCAACACTAAATTACTTTTCTAGCTCCACCCTAAATGTAGCTTTATAAACTAAGAAATGCGAGTGGCCATAGGCCGATACAATATGGCAGACAAAATGCTCTTTAAAGTGTTGCTTTATAAAGGAAGTACTAAGGATATGGGTTTAGTACTTAAGAAAGAAACAAAATGAAGAGATTTAAAAAAAAAAAAAAACCATAATTAATTATCAAGTTAGAGAAAAGAACTTCTGTAGTTACGAATAATGAGGATAATAATATAATGCAAGGTTGATTATGTGTACATATGAAAAATAATTAGTGACAAGTAATTTAAAACTTTAATTTTATCTTAAAATGAAATTTCACACTTTAGAAAAATTACGAATAGTCTTCCACGTAGTGACAGGGGTAACATAGCATTTTGTC